ACAAACAAACAAGCAAACTAATTCTTTCAACCTAAATCCTAATTTATTATGCGTTTTGAGAATATACTTTTCCCCTCGTGGTGACACAATGGTCCATGAACTTCAGCCCCATATTCACCGAAAACAAACTGATAGATTACATTCAATGTTTTTTATCAATAAGTAAAAATATGTCCATTTTAGGTTTAAACCTCAACATACCATATTCTTTATTTGTAACATTATGCAATATATTTAGTCAGATTTCTTTAAATAACTTTTGAGAAAAAAATAGTTTTAGGCAGCCAGGGAAATAGCGATAAAATTTAAGCTTTCATGGGCTTAAGAATGCTATTTTCTCTTATCATAATAATAATATATAAAAAGCATAATATGGAAGCCATGCAACCATAAAAACACATGAAGTTTGATTTACATTAATAAAGATATAAATGATTTTATTTATAACCTACGAAGGGGCAAGCTGGATATTATGCTTTTTAAATCAGATCTCGAAGCAGTTGCTTTTCAAATAATCTCACTTCTATTTCAAAGACAGAACAAGTTTTTAAAATTAAAAATGAACTCTGGGAGGGATCATCATCATTTTTGACCAACACCATCTTCAGGAGAAATATATGACTCATGTTATTAAGGACATTGCAACTGTGATTTTGATGCATAAACAGTTTCGAAAATTAGTGTAAAAAACACATGGGATCCATGGAACTATCAGTAATTCTAGAGTTAAGCTTAACTCGTGTGTGTCTGAAAGCTATAAAATATGTATATTTTTATCTAAATGCTATTGACATTTTTCCTGTCTTAGAAATGATTTTTTTCGTCCACGCACAGCGTCTCTTGTTTACGTTTCTTGTTGACAAGTCCTTAAGGTAAACTATTCCGGATATAAAGGTAATGCTAGTTATCTCTACTTTGACCATGGGCTAGGAATACTAATGCATAGAAGGTATTCTGAAGGTGATACCGTTATTAGCACAAATAAGCCCCTCAGATGTGGGTCATAGCCTAATTAAACGTAACTGAATATTATTTGAAACAAAATCAAGGACCACTAACTTGTCATTAATATTCTTTCATATGACATGTTAAATCAGTTTCTCTAAGAAAGGAAGGAAACGTAGTTTGAAATTGGGGGGGGGGGTAGGAGTACAGTTGAAGCTACAAAATTCATAATACAATTTTAAAGTTACGTTCTCGTGTATTTTGAACGCTTATGGTAATACGCCACCAAGCCAGGACGAAGCCAGTTTAGAAGTTAAAACACATACAATTGTACAACACAGAGAGGCCCTGAACATGGATGCCATATTATTATGCACGTGGGGGCACTTTCAAGAAATCGAACAAACTATATCCAGGCATTTTTACTGTTTTTAGGTCGTTTCTAGATTTGTGGAGTCGTACAGGTTACACA